GCGCCCAGCGCGCCGCTCTCCAGCTCGCGGGCCGCCTCCAGCCCCATCGCTCGCTCGCTGGGTCGCGGCTCTGCCCTCCGCCTGCGCTTCTTCCTCCTCTGCTCCCTCTTCCTCCGCGTCCTCGGCGGTCCCGCGGACAGTCGCGCTGCCTGGCTTCTGCTCTGGGCGTCCTCTGGGCGCGCGCGCTTAAGTACCGGGTGGGCCGGCCCCCGGGTCGCCATACAAGGACAGGGCAGGAAGGCGCCAGGCGCCCGCCCCCGCTGTCTCACGTGGGGCGCAGGCTGGGCTGGCCCGCAGGGCTCCCGGGGAAGGCTGGCGGTGACTGTGGAGTCACAGGAGCGGGCAGCTGGGGGAGGAGGGGAGACCCTGCGGGCAGCTCGTAGAAAAAGGTATTCACCAGGACCAGTGGGGCTCAAAATCCCTGCTCCCCATCTGTGGCTCCACCCTTGATCCCCAAGCTTGGCAGTCTGGGGAACCCAGCCTCTCAACTCCACATCCCCTCCTTAGAGACTGGCGGGGGTGGGGGAGCAGTCTACGATGGTTCTCTTCCCCCGACCCCACCCCTTCCCCTCCCTTGACAGTTCTTCCCCCCCTACCCCACCCCTTCCCCTCCCTTGACAGTTCTTCCCCAAGGAGGTTGTTACAACCAAAACTGGCCCCAATTAGTCTGACCCCGTGCTTGGGCAGTGTGTATGCTTGGGTGTGGGTTGCCCCTGTTGGCTCTCCGTGTGTCTGGGTGTGAGTCTGTGTGTGTGTGTGTGTGTGTGTGTGTGTGTGTGTGTGTCTCTGCCAGAGTATGGAGGGGTGAGGGAGGCAGGCAGAGTCCCCATTGTAAATGAGGGCCAGCCCTCATACTACTCAGAGCTCCACCAAGTGGAAGAGTCCAGTCTCCCTGCATTCCTAGCACCTCCACCCTAAGAACTCCCAAGGAGTGTACTGGGGTCCAGCTGCCCACTGCCCACTTCCCCCAGAAGTGCACTCATGAGCCAGCAGGACCGGCCGGCTGTGGGGCCGGCAGGCAGACGAGGCCCTGCCTCAATGACACAGCACTTGAGTCTCAAACTGCAGCAGCTGCCCCATGAAACTGAAGTTGGGTGAGATGACCGCGCGGCGCTGCTTCACGTAGTCGAAGGCCTCATCCAGCGGCACGCGGCGGCTCTGCATCAGGTACGCCAGGCAGATGGTGGCCGAGCGGGAGATGCCCGCCTGGCAGTGCACCAGCACCCGGCCTCCACTGGTCTTCACCGAGTCTGCAGGAGACATTGGGCAGGGTGAGGTCCGGTTGGCAAGAAGCACAAGCCAGGACAGGGCAGGCCCAGACCCTTCCCTGTACCCACCTCCCCCCAGGCCCAGGGATGGAGGCGGCCCTCTTACCAATGAAGCCGATGGCCTCCTGGAACCAGGCACTGATGTCCACCATCTGGTTGTCCTCCACGGGGATGCTCTTATAGCGGAAAAGCCCCTCAAAGTGGTTGGGACAGCTGGCCGAGACATTGAGGACGGCTGTGATGCCGCACGCCTGCAGCCCCTGCAGGTCCGAGGAGTGGCTGCAGCTGCCCAGGTAGAGGTAGGGCAAGATCTCCACAGGGCCGCCCTGGAAAGGGAAGGGGGCAGGGGTGAATTCCACAGCCGGCGCCAGGTCCCCCGACCCCCACCTGCCCTCATCCAGCTCAAGCAGGCTGAACCATCCCCAGGTGGCCCTGGCAAGGAGTCCTTGGGTCCCGGGACCCGACTCGGAAAGACGGATGAAGGCACTTAGCACACAGAAGCACGTGAAGATACACTCCAGGCACAATTCACCCGAGGGCCCACCCGGGCACCCAGACACAGCCTCACACACACCCCGGGGCACCCACGCACCGCGGCCTTTCTCCGCAGACGGTGGCAAGGAGCCCTGGACTCAGCTCACCTGGTCGTGGAAGGGCGCCCTGAGGTCTGGGTGATTGTTTTCCGGCCCCGCGGGTGGTGGCGCCTGGACCGGAGCCTCGGAGCACAGATCGGGGCAGCAGGCCTGGAAGCTGTCGAAGCCTCCTGCGGGGAGAGA